AAACCAACCCCCATCGAGCTGGGAGGAGCCTCTGGATCAAGTGCTTTGAGCTCCACAACAGCCCTTGACTGTGTGCTGCAAGAAACCCTCCGCACAGGCACACCTTTCACATCGCGGGAGGAGGGGACAGGAAGGGAAAGAGAGGAAAACTGAGACAGCAGCCACGTCCTCCGGTAACAGAAACACCAGAGATGCTCCCTCAGTTTACACGACCAAGGATTTGAGCCCAATGTGCTTTTAAAAGTCCTTTTATCATGTATTTTAATGTCTCTCCCTGCTCTGTGAGCGAGCCGGGCTCTGCTTTCCACAGACATTATTTATTCACTTTTACAGCGACTAACCTGAATTTCCAGACTGTTCAAAAGCAAACCTGAAGCACTGCTTTACAAAGACAAGGCCTGCTCCCCCCTTGTTTGCCTTTTCATCTCCACCCCTCAGCTGAAGCATCTCTGCCTCTCATCTACTAAATAAACTGTAGCTTTCCACTAAAAAACAAATGCACTTCCCTTCACCTCCACGCAAAAATGTGCTGACAATTCCCTTTCCTTTGTTCTGGAGCCACCCAAAGTGGAATAAGTTTCTTTTCTTTAATCCAAAACTGATTTTTCATCTTAGCCACCTATTTGGGAAAAAAACCCACTTGAACTTACATCACTTGCTGCAGTCTTACAGCCTGGAATGAAGGGAACACGACGCTGAAAGAGAGGGATTACCACTGGCTTGGGGTTAGGGGGGCACCACAGCCAAAAGCAAGCTCCAAGCTCAGTGAAAGCGGCCGCACTGCTGCACAAGCTGCCTCCTGATTGAGGAGCAGAAAGCAGCAGCACAGAGTCTAAATTAAATCCAACTAAGGCTCTAATCCAAGTCCACCAAATGAAGGAGCAGCTGTAAAAGGCTCAGACTCACCAGGATGTGCTCCTGGCACCCAGGGGAGGTGTCCTGGAGACAGGGAGCTCCAGAAGCACTCACCTATCCTCACCGGGTGCCTGCAGCAAGGGAAGCAGTCACACACAGCAGGTCCAGCACAAAGCAGGTTTAACCCCTTACAACTGTTTCATCACGAGTAAGCTCTAATTCTGGGACAGGGAGGGCAGGTAGACATTTTCTTGTGTGGAGATGCCCTCTACTCAACCCAGCCTAAGAACTTCACTTACGCCAGGCTGTGATTAGGGGATTCAGGTCAGGAGCAAGCAGATCTCATGCTTTAATTCTCTCTCTCGTTTTGGGTGCCTGAATCTCCATGATGAGCAGCATCACATCCGTGCAGGAACCAAAGCAAACTCGTGTGCACAGGCTCTGTCCCTCAGTACAGGGAGATACATGGAGTCAGCTGTGAGAACCTCCCACCCCCACGTGCTGGATGCTGCTGCAGTGCCACTGTACTCTCCCCCCACACAGAAGACTCAAAGGAACAGTCCTAAGGCCAGTCTCACCTCTATCTCCACAATCCAGCTAACAATACTGCATCAAGTCCACCCATACCACTGCCTTTTTATCTCCCCTGCAGTACCCCCCCCAGAAGGATGTATATCTGAACCCACAGCATCCAAACCCTCTCCCAGCTTGCAGGTTTCCTGCTGGGATCACCCCACTGAGAACCACTTAGGCAACACACTGGTTTAAGACCACCCTAAAAACACCCATACACTCAGTAACTGTAGCCCCAGTTCCACTCTCCAATAAGTATCAGGCAGTATTAGAGCCTTGCTGAGTGCCCTGGGACTGCAGTAACATGCCTCCAGCGCTGCTATTTACTTGTGGCAGTTTTTCACTACCTGCAAATGCTATCCAGAAATACAGAAGAGAAACTGGTGCTCTTGGGAGCTCAGAGTCTAAATGCAGAGGTCAGAAGAAACACTCTGTTCTTATTAATGCAGTTCTGTGGAGAGAGGGGAAAATGAAAGGCAAGTCTGTATGCTTCTTGGAAGCAGATTACAGCTAATAACACACAGATTACAGACATTACATGAATTTAAATTCACTCTTCTAGTATTCAGTGTATTAAAGTTTTTACCTTCCTCCCTGTATCGCTCCCATTTGGAGTCAGCTTCACTTTCTGCCTATCACGAAGATGTTACATGTGGCCAATAATCCCCGAAATGGACTTCTCTCCCTCAGCAGTCGTGTTGTACCAGATGTCTTTAAAAACAGGTAAAAGCCCATATGTCATGTTAGTTTAACAAGCACGCTGCCTTCCTTTCTTTCCTTTAGGTGGCTGCTGCACAACTCTGAGCAAGTTTCTCCATCCTAATGGCATCCAGCCTGGATGAGCTTTAAGGTTCCTTTCAGCACAAACCAGTCTGGGATTCTACTGCCAAAGAAGTATCTGAGGATGCTCAAAAGAAAACCATGAGTCAAGCAAGGCACCAGCCACATCTCTGTTGCTGAACATCAGGAATGTTCATATTAAAAGCTTCTCATACCTGTTCACATCTACATTTTACTGACAGAAAGCAAACTCCATGGCAAACAAACTGCACATCCCTGCCTGGCAGCCCCACATCTGGAGTGCTTGGCTGCACCATGGCCCCCAACTCCAGCCTTGCTCTCCTGGTCCCCACATTGGGAAGGACAATACATCCCCCAAGCCTGCAGAGCAGGAACCAGTGGGCAGTTGTCTGAAGTGTAGTTTGCAGTGAATTACCATTGCACAGGATCAGCTCAACTCAACTCTCCAGTCTTTTAGTTTCAAGAAGGGAGTTACTGCTGGTAAAAAGCATCTGCCTTGCTACATGGCCTTACGCAGTGGCTGGATTAACCATTACTCTTATTATCCAGTACAGAGCTATAGCAGCATTTCACTGAACTAGCTGGTTACTTGGAGAAGCTGTCAGCAACCAGCTCAGTCTCAGCCATGCAGATGCTCTCCTCAGCCTTGGGCATCCTCCAGCTCCTCTTTTCACCACCATTTCCATCAGCCTGTGGGGCTCAGGCCTCATTCCTGCCCAATCCCTCAGCCCAAGCTGAGCGCAAGCACACAGCAGAGGAATGAGGACAGCGCAGGGAGGACAGAGTGCGCATCTTTCAGCTGCAAAACCAATGTGAAGGGCATGGAACAGCAGGCTCAGCTCCTCGTGATGCCCTCAAGGGCATGTGGCACAGCCTGGGAGCTGGAGCAGCCAATGGCTCTGCCTCAGCAGGGGTTCACCTCACTGCAGGTAAGCAGGAGGGCAGGGGCTCACCATCCATCCCACTCTGGTTGGCTTTATTGACATGACCTGCAGCACAACCAATGTTAGCTCCTTATCAGGCCTGCGCTTAACGAAGGGCACTGAGTGCTTTGCTGAGTACCCCAGGCTGAGAACCCAAGGGTTCATGGGGGACTTCGTCACCACCAGGACAGAGGCATCAGTTTGTGGATCCAGAGGTCAAGCGCTATACACCCAGCACCTGGAGGCTACAGAGAAAGGACAGACCACCTGTATCCCTATGGATGGATCCATGCTACTGTTTCTTTTTGTACCTCAGAAATAACTCCACTACATCTGAAGGTGCAATGCAAACCCCCTGTGTCAGCACTGCTGATTACTACTTATTTTAAGGCATTCAGACTGTATTTAAAAGGATCCCACTGGTATCTGGTGTGACTACAGAGATCCATCCATCCTGACCTGCTGGCTGTAGCCAGGGGGGGACATCCAAGTGGTTTGATTAAGGGTGAACAGCACTGATCAAGAGGTTTGGCCAGATCTGGGGAAAGAGAAATGTTTCTGCTGCTCCATAGACCCAGGGAAGAGCCCAGTCCCCTCTTCTCCACTGGGTTTGGATCTCAGAGCCTGTGGTGACATTCTGCAGGCTGTGTTCTGAGTGCTCTGGAGAATAGCTCCAGCAGCAGCCCTGCAGCCAGCCGCAGCTCCCAGCAGGCCATGATGCTTCTCTGCGTGAGCTGGGTCTCCTTTACAGGGCAGGCTTCCCCATCAGCAAGGCAGGGACACTCGGCAGCTCACCATTCCAGCCTTTAGGGCCGCTGTAATGACCAGTCCATCAATGCACATGCATTCCCCCCGGCGACACAGCCCTGCACAGCACAACCAGCACCACCCTGCCCTGCAGTCCCAGGACCTTCCACCAAAAGATCACTTCCCAAACGTTAATGAACGAATTCCCAGCAGTCCTGGACCAAGGAGTGCAGAAGCAGGCTGAGGTGTCCCTGCGTCCCCAGGTCAGACCTGCCAGCTCCCTCCTGCTGAGCTACAGGCCTGTGAGCTATTTCACAGGATCCCAGGGTGTTTTGGGTGGTTTGGGAAGGGACCTTAAAACTCCTCCAGCTCCAACCCCTGCCACAGGCAGGGACCCCTTCCACTAGAGCAGCTTGCTCCAAGCCCCTGTGTCCAACCTGGCCTTGAACACTGCCAGGGATGGGGCAGCCACAGCTTCTCTGGGCACCCTGTGCCAGCGCCTCAGCACCCTCACATAGGGAAGAGCTTCTTCCTTGTATCTAACCTGAACTTCTCCTATTGCAGTTTGAACCCATCACCCCCTGTCCTATCACTACAGGCCCTGATGAAGAGGCCCTCTCCAGCATCTGTTCTAAAGTTCTTTCCAAACCAGAAAGACAAAATAAAACCTTTGTTTGCCTTGAAAAGCAGATCTATGCAGCAGAAAGGTACTACTAAAAGTTTCACTATCCAAAGTAAAAGTCGAAGGCAGCCATAAAGAGCCTCTGAAACATAAGCAGCACATTGTGCGTGGTGTGACATTTATTGCTGCCTTCAGAAGGAAGCCAAACATCTTAATATGGAAAAACACCGCTACTTCTGACCCAAACAGCTCGGGAACAGGAAGTAAAACCACAGCACCCAGCAGTGGCCTCCCCGCCTCGGGAGCAGCAGCAGAGAAACCAGCATTTCCTGCCCCATCCCTGGCCTCCCGGCTCTGCCCGGGGGCCGATCCCACCTAAACCACTCACAGACGGGTATTAAAGCTCCCGCAGCAACGTCAGGGCTTTATCGCAGGGAATCAGCTGGAGAGAGACAAGGCAATGGGACTGCAGGACTCACCCACTGCAAACAGCACAGGGCCTCCTGCGAGGGGATTCCACTGCTTTGGGTGGCTTCCTGGGTTTTCAGCAGCCAAACTCCTTGCTCAGGACAGGCGTACTTCAAGAGTTAATTCTGGTTTTACTGCCTCATCACCAGCAAACCCTGGGAAATCAAGTCAAGCCTCAATTGGCTCAAAGCATAATTGCATTTCTCTCAAATAACAGCTTTGCATGACTTCATTTTCTGTTGGGCTGGGTTTTGGGGTGGGTTTTTTCTGAGTTCGTGCATATTACATCCTAATTGTATTCCCGAGCTCTCATTTGCAGCTACAGGAATAACCCAGAAAGACAGAGAGATGAGCTCATTTTCAACTCATCACCTGAGCACGGAGCTGAGGCTTTAAAACAGAAGTGACAGCCAGACCAAGGGACCTGCAGGAACAAAGAATCACCCAAAAGTGACAGTCCGGTGTCCTTCTTGGTAACTCAGTGCCAGAGAGAAGGGGGGAAGACCTGAGCAGAGCAAACCCTGAGTCTCGCCCTTGGAATGCAACAGGAAACGCCATTTGCACAAACACTGCACTGAACAGCGGCTCAGAACCAGATATATTGATTAAACCCTGCTTTCAGAAAAGCTCCTAAGCAGCATTTTTAGCAGCTCAAGCAGATTTTTCCTCCAAGAAAAATGGTGCAGAACACTTCAGAAAGCGGAATAAGAGTTCCGACTTGTTTGAGTTTTATTCACTAGTAACTACCAGGAAATGACAGCTGTTGGTACAGCTTTGTGCCAGCATTGCTGAGGGTGGAACTGCACCGACACCACTGCTGGGGAACACACACAGCTGCAGACCCAAGGGGAGAAAGCACATTAACACGCACATTTTGTCCATTACCACCCAAGACTTCTCCAAGGACAGGGGTTTTGTACCAGAGGAAAGAACCCCGAGCTCGCTCCAGGTGCACCCCCTCACAGAGCAGCCTACAGCCCTACCTCTTGTTCTCTTAAATCCCTTTGCCTCCGTGTTCCTAAGTACTGCTTTGGCAGAGGGGTTGCGCTGCGAGGAAGGAAACTCCCCCCCCCATTCCCATTATAGGGCTGTGTGAAATCCACCCTCTGCCCCAGCACCCTCCCGGCACACAAGGCAAGGAAAGAACACCAAGTGGGAGCCCAAAAGGCAGTCAGAAGTGCCGCCAAAAAGTGGAGCTCTCTCAGGAAAGGCCCTCCCTTAGGAAGCTGCCAGTCAAAGCCGATCACGAGGCTGTTTTCCAGGGTGAATAGAGTTCTTATTGACACAGCTTATGTCTGCAGCACGCAGCCCTCTGCGAGGCTTTCACGAGCAGATTGGATTACACAGACGCAGTCGCTCTGATTTTATGCATTCAGAAGCCCTCAGACATAAACCGCCCAGCTCAGGAGGCCACCAGGTCTGCAGCTCCGTATCAGTCAATGTGCTTTCACACAAAGTAAGGTCCTGGCACCTTTACTTGGGCTCCAGGGAGAGGACCTCACCCTTGCTGAGTAGAGCCATGTAATTTGGAGGCCAAGCCACAGATTTGCTCCGTGTGAGTAATCCAAGACAGCTTGGTACTTACCACTAGGATGGGAGAAGGGAAAAAGAAAGTATCTGCTGATACCATTTAAAATGGGGGAAGATAACATCACTCTGGGTAGACAATCCTTCCTGGAAGATGGCATGGAAAAAGGGGAGGATACACTCCTTTTTAAACAACACGCAACAGCTTAGCAAGCAAGAGATGCCTGACTGCAAGAGCATCACAAGCACAAGCTCAGGTAGATCATCTGTCACGGAGCAGCAATCTGCACCCACAGAGGAACCTAGAGAAAACAAACCTAAAGGATGCATTTACAGAGTTTCGATGCTTAGGGGGCACCAGGAGGAACTGTTCCAGGAGCAGACACACGCACAAAGTACCTGTGATGCTGCATTAAAGGTGAACAGAGAATTACAAAGTCTTTTGTTCTAATAAATGCTCCGGCTTAAAGGCTGTGCTTCAGCAAGAGACAAGTCCGTGCTTAAACCGTGTGACAGATCAGGCACTGCCCTCGAGAAGGATGTATGTGTACTGCCCACAGCTCTGCACTACACTGATTAAAAAGAAACTCACCCCAAAAAAACCCAACCAGTCGAACAAGCAATCCAGTGCATTACACATGGGCAACTGGTTCCCTATCACCTAAGAGGGAACAACTCCTGCATCGACTTGTCCACACTGAATTGACGCTTCTACCCGAAGCATTGCATCTGGCAAAGAGCAGATCAAGCAAGCCTGAGCTTCAGAGCTTTGAAGGGATTTTCAGAGCAAACACACACTGTTCAGTGAAGACATCCTCTCCCCACCACTGCCTCCATTCCCCAGCTGAGCATTTCTCTCCTGCTCAAGACTTTCCTCATGGTTTGCCTGCTAGGTGCTGCGAAGCTGGATGTGGGTAACCCAAATGCAGGGTGCCACCACGTCTGTCTGCAGCGACAGCTGATCTTCAGTTGGACATCCGGCCTCTGCTTTCAGAGCACAGCAGCGGGCCACAGCTCCTGTGGCTACCTGGGGAAACAGATCTAGGCAAACTCCTCTTTCAGTGCACAGCCTCCCTCCAAACAAGCAGCCTCGTGTTTCTAGTACTCAGCTTAGTTCCCACACGTGACTTCTAGTATGCTCATGGTCAGGATCGCCTCCTCCTCTGGAGGCTGCACACTTTCCCAACACGCCCGAGTCACACAGTGAGTTGCCAAAGCCAAGCTCTCAGCACCAGCACGGCAGCAGGGGTGTCCTGCTGAGGCATCAGTCATGACTGTGGCTTCATGATCATCACCTGCACCGGCCACAAAGAACATCTCCCTCTGCTCCCAGGCTCCTGACTAAGCTGCAGGTACTGGGGACTAGGAAAGCCCTGGTTTGACTCGTGCATGAAGAAAGAGCCATTTGCAAGACACAAGCAGTGCGGTTTCGCCACCCGTTTAATTCAGCATAAGCCAGCGCTGCTAATACAAGCAGCAGTCCAGCCTCATCCTGTCCTGCCCCTGCATGCCAGGTCCTTGTGCCAACACAACTGCTCCTATGGCCATATGGAGAGGTGAACCGAGAAAGCAGTGATGGCTAAAATGAGTAGTGCTGGTTTGTTTTCTGCAAGACTGTTCTTGCTCCACAAGGATGAGGAAGAGACTGAAGGGAAGGGCTAGAAGCAGGACCACATTTTCCACCACAGCACCAGCTTCAGAGCTGATTTGTGAGCTGTGCTGCAAATGAAATCCAACCTCCCCCGCTTCAAGCCACAAGTTTTTAACCCCCACTTTGAGATTCCCTTAAAGGCACAGAACAGCCTCTCAAACTCTCCTCTCTGGTGGCAGCACAAGTACTCATCTTGGGGCAAGTCCAAGGGAAAACTTCTAGGTCAGTAAAAATCTAAGAATATCATTTCAGCCTCCTGCCAGCCATTCCCCAGCAGGGCAGGAGGCAGCAGAGGAGGTCACCACTGCTGGTAAAGTGGAACCGGGCACAAAACCCACTACAAAATCCTCTATGTGGATGTGACACCCCAACACCTCACATGGACAACTGCCCAGCACCCCCACTGCTCAGTCGCGTTCCTTGGGAGGGCAGCCCCAGATCCACTCCCTCCTTCCCCATGGGGACCCCTCACTCCCATCAGGGGTGGGCAGAATGTAGCACCCTTACTTCTGATCGGGGCAGACGCTGCAGGAGGCTGAGCAGCCCCAAGGTTACAGCAATGAGGGGCTCATTTCCTTACAGACCACCACGGCTGCTTTGGGCCCCTGCCAGCGTATCACAAGCCACCTGGACTATAGAACCAGGCCTGCCACAGGCACAGAGCTGCATGCAGCCTGAACCAGGAAAACTCAGCTACCTTTTGAGAGGGCTGACTCTATTCTCTCCTGTCGTAAGCACAGCCCATAATACCTAGAAGCTTCTGCACAGTCCATTGTCTTTCAGAGAGAAACACTCTGAAATAGCTCTCAAACTTTTCTGGGCCATCACTACTTTAAAATCACATCATTTAAATATGTACCATGTCTATATATATATACACACACACGCACACACCAAGGGAAATTAGCACCCGATGAAGGGCTGGTGCCCACACGCCATAACTGCACAGCCTCCTGGGTCTGCCTGTGTGTGACTGCCATGCATGAGTACAGCCCCACAGCAAACCAGAGCCCCGCGGGGACCCTGCCCCACTGCAGGAGTGGGGCACAGGACCACCACCACGCATCATTTTTGGGGTACAGAGAGCGAGGCGGGAGGGAAGTTTTAAAGCCTTTAAATCCATCAGATCTGCACAAACCTGAACCCCCAAGTCCTTCCTTTAGGAGCTGAGGTGCACGATTTGGACCTTCCTTAGTAAATACAGCTCCAAGGACTGTGCCATGTAAGGCATTTCTCCAACGTGGAGAGCAGCACCACTGCAGCTTCCACATACTACCTTAAAAGCAAAATACCCACAAGGAGGACCCAGAGGGGGAAAACATCTCTGCAACCCCATGGAAGCTGCTGTATGGAAACTTTAACTGCATTACTTCTGCCTCTGCATAATCCCAGAAGTGCCAGCTTAATTCAGCTTGCTCCAGCTCAGATACTCGATAGTTTCAGCACCGTATAGACTACAGCTAATTACAGGATCTCGTTATGTGTCCAACAACTGCTGCAATTTAGTCTTACCTGATACACCCCAGCTCAAAATTGCTCATCCCACCTCTCCCTCCTTTCCCATACGTTTTCAATAAAGGCAGGATACCTGGCAGCACTTCAGCATCCGACCCGAAAAGGTAAAGTCATTATTTCCTTGCAGTAACAAAGGCAATGACTTTCACCAGGACAGCACAAATTAGTTTTAGGCAAACAGCATGGACACAGACACGTATCCCAGGATTACTGCTAAGAGCAAGATGAATTCCCAAGCTGGGTGATCTCGCACGAAGCCCATCCGTGCAAGAGAGGAGTCCTCAGAGGAGCCAAAGCTGCCGGCTCCGGCAGTCGGACTGGAGTTTCACTACCTCAAAGGCAGGGGATGTTCCTTACAGCAGCGCACGTCTCGTCCGTGAGCTCCCAACTGCACCCGCAGCTCCGGCTGCCATGAAAGGGAAAGGTTTCTCCCTGCAAGCGTGCGCCGCGCCTGAGCCGAATGCAAACAGGTCTCTCCTTTGCGCCTCGCCTCGCCACCACCTCATGCTCGAGAGGGGAACATCGCGTTCCCCGAGCGGCGGCCGAGCCGTCCGGCCATGGCTCCGGGATGATTCAGCAAGGGGGTGGCTCCCCGTCGGAAAGCAACACCTCCTGCGAGCTGTCACCCCACGGCGCTGGGGGCCTAGCGAGCATGGCTGCACCTTCCCAAACGCGTAACCCGGGCTGGCAGGGGCGAGGGGGCGAAGGGGGGGATGGATACTGTGTATGGGGGGTTTCCATCCGCAGCCATTGGGGAATAACGCAAGGAATTATCTCCGCGTTTTAACTATGGCATAAGTCAATGAAAAGGCGGATGGGGGGGGGGGGAAGCCAGACACTTTGGGAGCCAGCATCAACTTCGCCAGGCTGTGTTCTTTGTTTCTAGGCAGACTCCAGTGCGGTGGCAAGACCGAACAAATGCGCATGTCTTCATAAGAGGTAAAAAAAAAAAAAAGCAAGAAATAAAAAATAAATAAAGAAGGACCCCCCCGCGCACCCCTTCCAGCGGCACAACTCCGCTTCCACCCTGCTCCGAGCCCGCGGTCCCCTGCGCTGCGAGGCGCAGGCAGCGCCCGGGGCGCGCTCGGCGGCCGGGATTACTTTGGGAGCGGGTTTTCCCTCTCAGGTTTTTTTTCGGGAGGGGGTAAGACCGAAGCGACACCCTCGCACCGCGCCGCTCCGGCCGCCCCTCCCGCCGCCGCCGGAGCCGGGCCGCCACCGCCACACAAAGGAGCGAAGAGCCGCCAAGGAGCCGCGCCGGCAGCCCCGGGACAACCGCCAGCGGCCGCCGAGCCCCCGCCGCCGCCGCCACCACCAGCACGGACATTCCTGCCCCTGCCCGCCCCACAACCGGCCCCAGCGCCCCGCGGCCGGGCCCGGCCTTACCTCAGCAGCGGCGGCGGCGGCGGCAGCGGCAGCAGCAGCAGCAGGCAGCGGGCGGCCGCACCGTGCCACGCGCGGCGGCACGGGGCGAACCACGGGGGCCGGTTTAGCGCGGGGGCCGGCTGCGCGCCGCCATTTTAACGCCTCCCGCCCGCCCTCCGCCCTCTCCCCCCCCCCTTCCCCGCGGCCACGAGCGGCGTGGAAATGCCACTCAGCGACGGCTCCCCCCTCCCGTTTCCCCTTCCCGCCGCCCCGCCGCTGCCCTTACATTGACGCCGCGGCTCCCGGTCGCCGGTCCCGCCGTGGCGGAGCTAGCAGGGCACCAGCCGCCGCCGTCGTGGCCCCTCCGCCGCCTCCCGCCGCCGGGCGCACATGGTACGCTCCGGGCCCGCGCCGCGCCCCGCCGGCCGCGCGCGCCGCCGCGCCGCCTGGCTGCTGCCATGGCAACGGGCCGGGCCCGACCCGACCCGCCGGGCCCCGCGCACCCGCCACCGGTGCAGCGCCGCGCACGGGCCCCGCCGGAGGGTCTGCTGGGCCGTGTGGGCCCGCAGCTGGGCGCCGGCCGAGGGACCCAAGGACAGCGTGGCACAGCCTGGCCCCCGATGCCTCCCTGTCCCCAGAGTCACCACCACAGCAAGCACTGTGTCCCCAAAACCACCATCACATCTCCCCGGTGCGTACCCGCTGTCCCCAAAGCCACCATCGCATCCAAACGCTGCGTCCCCGCTGCCCCTAAAGCTGCCATCACGCCTCTCCCCGGTCTCCAAAGCCACCAGCACATCCCCTCACCGCACCTACCTCACCCCCAAAGCCATCACCGCAACCCCTCACCAAGGGGCTGTGTCTCCTCCCTGCCACAAGCGCCCATTGCATCCCCCGAGCCGCATCCAGTGTCCTCAAAGCCACCATCGCGCCCACCCCATGGGTCCCCTCCATCCCCAGCGCTCCTGTCAGCGCTGCCTGCGGAGGGGCCACGTCCTGCCGGGCTCGGCCGCCCTTACCTGGGTACTGACCCAGCCCTGCCACGCTGCAGCACTCATTTTCACTCCTGTTTTGCAGGAGACAATCGCATCCGCCAGGACAGTGGCGAGGGAGAACAGGCGCAATGTGGAGCAGATGAGCGAGTAAATCATGGAGCGCGTACATGTTCTGCATACTGCAAACGAGGAGCTCATTTCCTGGCGGGCCTCGCCGGGAGTCACTCTTTGCCAACGTGGCCTTTAAACCCTTCACGGCCTTTGGCTGCTTTGCTGACTTTAGCACCCAGTTCCCACAAATACACACCATTTAACCACGGTTTGGTTGGGGTGAGCTGAAAACAACCAGCAACTACCGGATGACTGAGGAAAACACAGCCAATCGTGCATTTAATATTTGTAAATCAGCGCTTCATGGGGTTCGGTGACATTTGCTACGTTGTGAGCTCAGCCTGAAGCAGGACGCTCGCTGCACGCAGTGTTCCTCCCCGACAGCAGCGCTAACGGAAACGCCGGTGTCGGTGGTCAGAGCAGCAAAGCAGGGGCCTCATGGCTGCACCCTGTGCTGACAGCCACAGGAGCACATCACCTCTCTGCCTAGTTACCACTGTGGCTGAGATCAATCCGTTCATGTTTGCAAAGTCAGCTGAACACCAAAAAGCATTGCGTACTGCTAATAAAACCGTAATGATCCCCCTGTTAAACATTAAACACAATGATGTGTTTGAAAGAATATCCCTTTTATGGAAAATTCCTCTTAGCTGCAAGGACAAAGGATTAGCTCCTAAAACAGGAAAGGGTGAGCTCAAATTTGCATCACCAGATTGTGTCTCAGGGGTTTCGCTTTCGCTTCTGTTAAGGTTTCTGCTACTGATGATCTGTGTGGCCATGGGCACATCACTTGCTGATGCACCTGAAAGCAAAACCTTACTCCAGTGTTAGCCAAAAATCATAATCCCAGACTGGTTTGAGTTGAAAGGACCTTAAAGCTCATCGAGTTCCATCTTTATATCTCAACTCCCCCTCTGACAGTTTAAAGCTCTCAGCAGATGCTTTCGGAAAAGCTTGGTTATGCTTATTTTGCACCTCTGTTCCCAGTCACAAAATGGGATGAGGATTGCAGCTGCAATCCTGATTTTTGCAGGCAAGACACTGCAGCAACGAGCAAACCCTGACAACATGGCCCTTAAAAGGCAGGAGAGCCGTGCTGCTCATGAGACACATCACACCACAATGCCAGGAATCAAAGCTTGGGGGGCTCTGTAGGAGATTTCTCTTGGCAATGAGCCTTGCTTTAGACGTAAAACCGGTAGCTGTGCCACTGGTAGGGCTCCGGGTTGCCCCATCAGGAGCAATGCATGTCTGATGCTCTGACCTACAGGCAAGAAGGAGGAGAGGAACCAGGAAAACCACGTCTGTCTGTACCTTTGGGCCTGCACAGGGCCACATTCATGGTGATGAGGTGGGACAGAAGCCATGAGTGGGGATTTGCACAGCAGGAGCTCCAGGCAGGTCAGGATCTGGCACAGTGACCTCAGACAGGAGAGCTGCTCTTCAAAAAGAGCAGCCCTTTGTCAATGCACCCTCATTTCCTCAGCCAAACTGCCCTTTGCAAGGAGCATCCCTGAGCTGCCACGGCCCATTGCACCTTCCGCCTGAAACGTGATGCTCCCTGCTCTGATGGTGATCAGTTGTTGACTGCAGCAGAGCTGAATCATGAAGCAGAGGTTATAAACAAGGTTATTTTTAACGAGGGAAACAAATCCCACTCCGTGCAGCAGTCGGAGCAAGGCACTGGCAGCTGGGGCTTGCGGAGCTCACTCCTGCGCCAGCATTCGCTATGTCCTGAATCGAATTACAATCTCCCTAACCTTTAATTTACCTGCTTGTAGCACGGACAAAGCAGCAGAGTCCAGTTGTAATTTCTTGGTGCAGCAACACTCCTGGTGTGACAGTAAAGCGGTGCTGGGAGCTGCGCGGTGCCAGGGGCCTGCTTGCACTGGCCCCTGGCACCTTGCAGAGCTGTTTTCAGCCATGCAAAGTGATCGCACGCAGGATTTCAGCACTGGTGATGGACGTTCTGAAGCCTGCTTCCCCTCTCCTCTATGTCACAGCCTTACATCTCAACTCCCACACACAGCCCAGTAACTTCTGCTTGATTTTGCTCACTGAAAACTGAAAACAGACAGGTTTTGTAGCACAGAGTCTCACGTTGTGTCCTTCTGGCGCTGGTGTGCTGCAGGGTGTGTGCTGTACATCCCCGGTCCAGGGGGAGGGAAGGCGAGTGGGCTACACCTACAGCTGGCAGGGAATTCTGATCGTGCCACTCCTCATCTTTCCCTTTCACACTGAAGTTCTTCCCAGAAAAGCTTATTTCATTGTACATAGGAAAGATGCCTCACCTCAGGGAAGGAGGGGACTGAGGCTGGGATAGGAACAGCCCCACACATGGATCCTTGCAAGCCTGTCTTCTGCGCTCCATGCCTGAGGTAACAAGTGCTTGGTGCCTGTCTCTTCCTTTAGGTAACTTCTGAGGTTAAAGACCCCAGGCTTCTTTGAAAATATTCTGTATATATATATATATATATTTAAATACCCATGTACACACATATAGGAAAGCTTTAGGAATTAGACACTGCCATTCTTTATTGACAACCCTGCCAGGGCGATTTGCTGCTGGATGGGCTTAACCTTCCCCACTCCAGCTTGCTTGGAGCAAAATAGTGATGTCCACATAGAAAACACCAAATAAACCCCAAGGCACCAGTGCACTGGATTCAGAGAGGGCTCTGTTCCCCCACCCCTTCACGGCCCATCCTTCCCTGCTGTGGGAGCAGACCCCAAACTGCTCACGCTGGGGACACCTTGGTGCCCGTGGCCACGGGAAGTGGAGCAGGACCAGCCCTGTGAGCCAGGTCCCTCCTGCAGGTGCCTGCGAGGACACGTGGCCGTGTGCCAGCGGGTGCAATAACCATGGCCCCGCGCTAGTGATGGGGCAGGGATGCTGCAGGGCAGCGTTAATCACTGCTGGAGACGCCTCTGTGATCTGCAGATGAAAGGTGATTTACAGCTGCAAATTAGTGCTCTTCTGCAGGTGAAGTCTATTATTTGCTGGTGTCCCTCATTTTGACTCATGCCACGGCCCGTGTTTGGTGCGGGGCAGGCTCTGTGGAGATGGTGCTTTACATCTCCACCTGGCTGCATGCTCTAGAAGCGTGTGATCTGCTTGCAGCAGGCGCAGGATGCGGCCTGGAGTGCCCGTTCTTGGGTAACTTGGTCTGGGATTTGCACAACGCTGCGCATTTGAGAGGAGGGATTCTGCCCCTCTGCTGCTCTCTGGGGAGAAGCAACCCATTAGAGCTCCCATGCCTGCTGCGACAAGTCCCAGGGGAAACACAGAAGGAAGGACCCCACCATAAAATCCTGCCTCCAGCTCTAACTTGCTGTTGTGTTGCATTTTCTTGCTGCAAAGTTCTCTTCAGAAGGTTGTCCTGAGCTCCACCTCTGCATATCACTTCCCCTTGTAGCACAAGAGCCGGTGTTTGCTGCGGGAGGGCCCTTCACTGTGTTCCTGCACTTCTGACTGTGCCTGCTATGGGGAACGCTGAGCATGGGTCTTCAAAAACTAGCCCTGCTCAAGCAGAGGCTGCTTTTAACAGCCACTGCTGAGGATTAACCTTACACGTGTTACCAAAGGGTAAGCAGAGACACAGGCCTTGAGCACTGCTTAGGAAATGACGTTTTACATAAAAGGCTGACAAGCCGGGATGAGTTTGACACCTTCCATAAGAGAAAACCCAGTGGAGTCTTAGAAATCCTTTATTTTTAGCAGCCGAATGTTCACAAATAGCAGTTTTTAATCACCAGGAATGACGATATCAAACTGCCCCCCCCGCCAAGGGAAATCATCGCTCCCTCCTTCCGGCAGGTAGGGAGGGATTTCTCACCTTTCCTCCCCTCTTGGAACACTGAGAGGTGGCAGAAGCAGTGCGGTGGTGACAGTGACAGATGTGCTGGTGCGGGCAGAACGCGATGTTGTCATTTCTTATTCATAACTGTGCACTGCAGAGCTGGGTTAGGGAAAGGGAGCGCCTGAGTGCGTGGGGAGGACAGCTTTGTTCTCAGGGCTTGCAGGAGAAGGAGTGGAACGTCAGAGGTAGAAACACCGGAGGGGAGCAAGGGCTCGCAGGGGGCTGTGGGTGGCTGTGAGCATCAGGTAGATGCAGCAAACAAGACCCCAGCCATTGGGTATTCAGGCCTGTAAATGAGCTGACTTGAATCAGCAACAAGAGGGCAGGAGGAGACGCTTTCTGTTTGTGGGAGCAGAGAAGGGAGGTCTGGCTGTTTTAAACAAGAGGGTTTGGGAGCTTTGCGTTGCAGACCGATGCGCTGGGATACACACAGGACAGCGTTCGGTCCCTCCATCCATCCACAGTGTTCCTGTATGCCCCAGCCCACACGAGTCACCCACACAGAGCTGAACGGAACAAGGCAGCTTGTTGTCACCCTCCGCTCCTGAGCAGCCACAGAGGAGCTGCTCTGCAGTGAGGACACCGATCAGCCCCGCAGAGAGCCCGAGCACCAGCACGGGATGAACACGCTGTCCCCAGTCACGTCCCGCACTGCCGAGGGGAAGGAAAGTGAGCTTCAAAGGGAGGGGAGGCAGGAGGGGCCCGAGCTCCCGGGGGTGGCTGCGCCCCTGTTTGTCATCAGCTGAGTGAGGAGGGAAAGTTTCTGCTCCTGGGATAATTGTTACAGACAGTTGGGGTTTGCTTTCACATGCCCTCGACTTTCCCTTTTTAATTAGCTGTAAGCCCCATCCTGGCCCTTCGGCCGGGATCTGCGGGGCTGGAGCTTGTCTCGACGGCCTGATTTATGTTTCTCTGGAAGTGAACTGGCATTTTGTGAGGAACCCCACCCAAGCCCAGCACATAGCAAGGAGCTGATTCACCCGCTGCTGGCACTGGCTCCTCTCGCCCTGGATGGCCGGAGCCTGCAGCCAGTCTGGGCACACAGGAGACAGGGGTGGTGAATGAACCCCAGTCCCAATGACACTGCCTTACGCTGGAGAAGAGCCTGCCAGAACCTCTGGCTCCCAGGAGAGGCTTGGATGGGAAGAGCAGAAGCACCATGAGGCTGAGTCAAGCTGTAATCACCGAGCGATGCGCCAGAGGAACCCGCGTGTTGGCACAGCCTCTGCCTCCAGCCAGGGCTAATAACCCGCTGGTGCTCAGGCATTCGGGTCACCCGTGGGCAGAGCAGAGCCCCACAGAGCTTTGGCAGAAGCCCCTTTGCTTTGCTACACCAGGGGAGCAGTAAATGGGAGGGTAAATGGGCTTGAGGAAGCTCTCAAACCCCAGTGCCTACTGCAGAGGGATCAGCGGAGGAAGCAATCGCTCCCTGAGCACCTGACGCAGAGGAGCCCGAGGCGCAGAGATCGGTTCAGCCATTTGCAGGTATGATCCTGGTTAAGAAACAAAAAGCTGTTACCGCACTGTTAAAATGGCCCCTGCCTACTCAGCTGTCTGCTCCCTCGCATTAGCACAGTCATGTTTGATGACTTGAGGGATAAAAGTCCCTTTTGATGCGGCGCTCGTGCCAGCCATGCAGAGCCAACCTGGCTGCTTGGCTCTTGCCCAGCTCACAGGGCATTTCCCATGCACACGAGGCTCCTCTGGGACCCCCATCTTGCCAGCACCCCCCTGCACGCTCTGCCCCTTGCCATGCACGCTG